TGTCCCAATAAACAGGAGTTACACCGTAATAAAGGGTCACTTTTAATTTATAAACGTTGAAAGCTGACCTGATATTACCTACAACAACTACACCTAGACTACAACTGATTTTTGATACTTTGAAACGTTAACTATTGATACTTTTCATGTTTTCATACTTGTATTATTGCCTTTTCAGAAGACTTGCATTTACCATTCTTCTTCACACTTTCAACTGGCCGAAGGCAGCATGGTCAAGAATGTTGCCAAGTACGGGTTCAAAGTATGTGGATTTGTTACTGACAACGCAGCGAATGTGCAGAAAACGAGGAAGGATTTCTTAAAGTGAACACAAAGCGGTATTCATGTTTGGATGCTCAGCAAACATTCTCAACTTACTGATGAAAGATTTTTCAAGTCAAAAGTGCGCTAGATAAAATCTCACCAGTCATCAGGTATTTCCGAAACGTTCATAAAGCTGTTTCTCGGCTACGTGAAGATGAACTGGCCGGAAACTTTCTCTGCCTAATGATACTCGCTGGAACAGTACCCGAGATGGCCTAACGTCATACAGCGAAGCATGGCCTGCTATGGTAACAATTGCCAAAGAAAATCGCATAGAAATGCCGAAAAAAAATTTACGATGCGATAATTAGCTTGAACCTGAAACGCAATATTGAAAATTATTTGTTACTTCTGAATCCTGTGAGTTACGCTTTGGATGGAACTCAAGCTTCTGACGTGAACTTGTCAGAAGCTGTCAAAATTTGGCACGATCTTTCGAAGGAACTTGTTGTTCTTTTTATAAATGTGATCGGAAAATACAGCAACCAGCTATCCTTATTTCCAATTGCATTATTTGTTTTGATACTAAATTTTCGGCAATTTGACAGTTTACTTAGGTAAATATTAATTTCATGCTAATATATCCTTCAATTTAGTTAATTATTGTTCCGACCATTGGAAATGGGGAAGAACTTTGTATTCGGGTCTGTTTTTTTTTGTTTTCCACGCAAAATCAGGTACCACAAATAATGAGAACATTGTCAGGGTTGAGTGATATATCATTATAAAGCCCTTACAGTCTTAATTCGAAGCATATTTTTAAAATTTCAAAAAAGATTTCCCAACATCGAGAGAAACCGGTTTAAATTTTTTTCATTTTCGTCTTATTTCGAGCGAATAAAGCGAGCGATCAGTCTCATTTCAATTGCTTACAAGAGCTTAATTTAAAACGTAACCACTTAGTTTTATTTGGGTAACGGCAGTTTACTTTGAAAATTTTAGCGCTTTTTTGGAATCAAAATTTTTTTTTTTTGTTTTTGTTTTTCTAGTAATGTTTCTACAAAAATTGTTTTCCAATTTGCTTATTTTAGTATGGCTGTCGAATATACCTAATCCCCATTTTTTAAATCACTCCACGCAGCTCCTTTTATCTCACCACGCAAAAAAAAGAACAATTTGATAAAACTTTGTTCCTTTTTTTGAAGACTATGGTCGGAACATTCTGTGCTTCTTATTTTTTGAGTATTATGGAAAACTGATCTCAGAAAAAATAATTCAAAATCTATCAGTTAAAAAGGCTTAAAATAGGGAGATAGTGGTAGACAAAAGCAATCAAGTAATAGGTATTGAATTTATAACAGTGATAAAACTAAATATTTAACTAGCGTGTAACGCACCCCCCGGTGCTTCGAATTTATAACAACTCATTAAAAAACCGCATATATTGGAAAAAAGATTTGTATCTTTTGATTGAAATCTGACAGCAAAGATCTACAAGGTTCGTAATTTCAAATTTTGTAATGAGTTTTTATTCAAGTTTTCTCAATTAAAATTTTCAAAAACCATAAAATTTTTTCAAGTTTTTAATATCTATGTTCTTTAAAAAAATTTCAAATGAATAAAAACGTCAAATCTCGGAAACTAAATGCCATTGAGCAGTCGCATATAGATAGCAGATTTTCAACTTCTGAGAGTTTCCTTACAGTAACCAACTACAGTGTCCGGAATTTCAAACTTTGAAAACCTTTCCCCAGTCCGATAATTGTGATACCTGAACAAAAAGGAAAAAACTAAACAACCGAATACAAAGATCCTCCCAAATTTCAATGGTCGGAACAATAACCTTTATAATGCTCTTGACTTTTCAACTTGTGCTCTTGACTTTTTAGGACTTGATTGTAATTGCTAGAAAAACAAAACTGGCAAATTGACTGAGGGCGGTAACAGATTTTTCTAATTTGTCTATCGTTAATTGAACAAGAATACTAACCGAAGATCAAACATACAGGATAAAAAGAAGAAAATAAAACATTTTTTTCACATTTTTTTAATACTGAAAATCAGTGCGAAATATTTATTCCTAAAACTGCTAATTTTTCCTTCACAAGGTTAAAAAATTTGACACGATTAAAAATGTTTTACACAGCCCACTGGCAAATTCATTTTCTTACACAGAGGCTAAGCAGAGCCTTGCACCATTTGCGATGCAAAAAAAATATTAAAACCCAAGTTGAAAAAATTTCAGTCGAAAAGAATAAAAAACATAGGACTTCGTTGAAAAAATCTCAAGCTTCGAATTGGAAAGTTTGAAAAAAACTTTGAAAAAACAAAACGTCATATCTCATAGCTACGAAGATTTGAGCAGTTACATTCGGAGGCAAGATTCGCAACCTCTGAGAGTACTCTGACAGCCCCAAGCCCCATAAAACTTAAACTTTCTCCAAAATTGACTACTGAAATCTGTATTTTTCGAGATGACGTTTGTTTTTTTTCCCAAAATTTGTTTTCGAAAAAATCACAAAAGGTCAAACCTCAAAAACTACAAAGATTTCAGCAGTCAATTTTGGAGGCATGATTCGCAAGCCCTGAGAGTACTCTGACAGCCCCCAGCTACAGGGTTGTGAAGTTTATATTTAAAAAAATGTTTCTAAAAACTAATTGAAAAATTACAAAAATATATCTCGAAAACTATGAAGGTTTGAGCAGTCAATTTTGAGGCAAAATTCGCATATCCTGAGAGTACCCTGACAGATCCTCACTGTAGAGATGAGAACTTCAAAGTTGGTGATATTTTTTTTATATCTGATTTCTTCCAACAATTTATAAAATAATATATAACAAAAGTAACATCTTGGAAGCTAAGAGATTTTAAGCAGTCGCATTAGGAGGCAAGATTTGCACTTTGGAACAGTACCTGACTACAAGGTTAGGAATTTCAATTTAAACTTTTTTTTACAACTAAGTTTTCTGAAAAACTAAAAGAAATCATAAAACACGTCATATCTCGAAAACTACAAAAATTTTAACAGTCATATTTGGAGGCAAGACTCGCAATCCTTGAGAGTACTCTGACAGCACCCAACTATCGGGTTGGGAATGCCATGTTTTGTAATTGATTTTTAAATTCGAGTTTTCAGAAAACTTTAGAAAATCGTCGTATGCTGGAAGGATTTTGGCATTCGTAATTGGAAACCAAATTTGCAACCCCTGAGAAAACCCTGACGGCCACCTACCATTGGGATGCTTTTTTTAATCTCGGTTATATAAGCATTCAAATATCATTGGGGATGGCAAAATAACCGAACACCTAAGACCTGTCCTTTTTGACGAAAAGCTCATCGCCCTCATAAAGATAGACAGAGGTTTGAGACCAATTTTTTCGGAATTCTAAATATCGGGTGCGGAAATAAACGAGGAGCAGAAATAGTTGCACCGTCGTTTCGAAACCTAATTGAGTGCAAAGACAACCCAAAATGCGCTGTGCTTTTAAACTTGGACTTTAAGAATGCCTTCAACTCTTCAAAAAGAGAAACAGTGCTGAATCATGTTTTTTAAAATCAATTGTAAACAACCCACTGCGCGTACAGTAAACCTAGTTACCTTTTTACGGCAGCTCTATCATATAGTCAGAAGATGGAACCCCACAAGGCAATTCTGAAGCCCCGCCCATTTTTGCGGAAACATTTCAGACACTAGTCAAACAGCTTGAGTCGAAAATAAACATCTCCTAATTAGATGATGGAAATTTAGCCGATGACAATAAGGTAGATCTTCGTGAACTTAATAACACTCTGAAATCGGAACAAACTTAAGGCCTGAGCTTGAACACTGAAAATTGATTTTCGGGACCGACTATGAGGAAAACACAGAACCAATCAATTTTAAAATAATTTCGAAAAATATGCTCCAAAATAAAAATAAAAGAAAAATCTCTTAAACTGGGATCTCCAAACGCCGAACTTTGTCGAAAAAAATAGCTCGACGAACAAGTTAAGGAGCTTAAAAAAATCTCGGATGTCAACGGCAAACAAGACGCGCATTACGGTTTTTACCTCCTGAAAAATTGCTTTACCATGCGCGCATGCGCCTAAATACTTGAAAAATGCTCTAAATTGTTATATATTTCTTGTGTCGAGTTGCGTGTTCTTATTTAGGAAATGTAACCCTTAATAACCCTTATCGAGTTTAATTTTAATCACATCAACACTAATCATCTCCTTTTTACCATTCTCACTTCCATATCTAGAAAACTCTAAGGATTTTGACTGGAATATGTGATCAAGGGACTCCTGACTGTAACCTCGATTACTATGATACTTTTGACCTTCTGATTATTTAGAAAAACTAACAAAAAAGCGACCGAAAAAAACATGGTCTCAATTTATTTCAATTGTTGCTAATAGGATTAACATCTGCTTCCTCTTTCCAGCCACACTACCGTGGAAACCTTGCCTTGCTAAGAGCTAGAGTTTTAAAAAGATAAGCCATCAACGTTCCTTTTTGCTGGATTAAAACTGGTTTTTCTGCCTAATTTCGGACTCAGATTTCATTCAAAATTACAAAGAAACTCAATAATAGAACGGTATGTCATATGCAAGACTAGGCTATTATTTTAATCATTTAAATTGAGAAAAATTAGTCAATTTTTTTCAACACTTCAAACAATGACGCGTTTTCACTGTCGCATCAATTTTTGAAGTAAATTCTATCCCCACCAATATTCAACTTTAACTAACCGGTTTCGGAGATCGAGGCTGCAGATATCGTTAAAAAATATCGGAATGCCAATGAATTCGGATTTAAATTCCATCCATTTTCAATTCCCCTCCTTTTCGAGAATCCCTGTGAAGCCATTCTAACTTATAGCTGGAGACATTCTACTACCTATAAACACTGATAATCCCTGTCTCGCTACATTATAATATTCGCCCAGAAACAACACAATGACGGAAAAATTCCCAATTGACGACTGGCTGACGTCAGATAACTTAATTCGTGTTTTGCAGTCTTGAACAGGGTAGTATTCTCCCGGAAATTACATTGTCTGGGACTGTCAAATTTGCACAAACACTTGGATAACTAAGTAAAAGGATAAATCAACATAACTAAACGTTTGTTTAAATAACAACTTTACCACATTCTCAACATAACTAAGTAAAACGCACTATAAAAATTAAATTCAGGTACTTACATTTAGACAGCAACTCTGGAACGAGTCCCAGACACGATTAAGTAAGCTGAGTATAGCTCTATAAATTTGAAGTAAAGATAACATGTATAACTCAAATAAATTTTAAAAGTTGCTCAAGTAGTTTTTGAACTAATTGTAACATTTGCCCGGAAGTACATATCGACGGAAAAAAAGCTAGGTTCTAAAACGACTGGCTAGCGTCTAAACACAGCTCTACATGCTTTTCACCGTCTCTGCCAAAGCCAGTTCTTTTGGTGGTCTTTCTAACATCGGGTCGACAAAAACGTTACTGTTTCCGGCTTCGATCAGAACGCTCTAATTAACTGAATTACATGCAAAAATAGTGAGTGTAACATTCGCCCGGAAGATACATATCGACGGAAAATAAAGCTAGGTTCTAAGACGACTGGCCAACGTCTAAACAGAGCTCTACATGCTTTTCACCGTCTCTACCAAGCCAGTATTTTCGGTGGTCTTTCTAACATCGGGTCGACAAAAAACGTTACTGCTTTCGGCTTCGGTCAAAACACTCAAATTAACTCAATTACATGCAGAAATAGTGAGCTCATGGCTGGGTCTCAGTATCCCCAAACCACGAGGTCACTCCTAAAAACAGGGCTACTACTACTTATTGAATTATTATTGTTTTTGTTCAGTAGATAAAAATCATCATCTCCATCGAAAATGGATCAACCCTTTCCCCCAACTCCTAGCTTCTCATCTTAGAAGAATGAATTCAGATGTTAATTAAATTCAACTCAGGACATGACAGGGAAGCTAAAAGTTTATATAAAACACTATCAGTTCCAGTCCCGAGATCCCTCCGGATTCGTCATAAAGTGACAGTTCTCCTAGCTGATTAAAAACAGTCATGCAGACTGGAATATTTAAATATACTCCTTCACTCATGCCTTCCTAAATAAACAGTAAGTAAGTGTCTCTAGAGGCACTTAACTAAAATCAAAGTGCAAATTTATAAATGCAACAATTTCAAAACTCAACTAAATGTTTCAGTTTTCAATTACAACTTGGTTGATTGGTTTCCACTTGAGTTTTTTCACACACACAAAACAATTCTGAGTTTTAACTTTTTCCTCTCCACTCCTTTGTTTTCTTCTTTTTTTGTCGTTTAGAAGTTCTAAAACTTCTAAATTCTTCTAATTTCGTTTCTTTTTGCATCTCGTTTTTCGGCCATTCGTCAATGTTCCATCTGTTCCTCCTGTGATACTGACTCTGCGCTTTCAGTTTCTTAGTCCTGCACCACGTCGTTAGCTATCCTGACGCTGTTGGAAGCCGTCCTCCAACACTTCTGCTCTTCTACCCTCTGTTTGCAACAAGGTAGGGATCCACGTTAGATTCTCTGTTCCTGGAGACACAACGTCACATTTCTCTCCAAATCTTCCTTTAACAACTCTGCCTGCTCCTTTCCACTACGTTCACTTGTCCTGGAAATTCTCTTCACAGCGGTGGTCACTACATTGCGATGAGTCACGAGAGCTCGCTTGAAAGCTCCTGCTCCAATGTCCAGCTGATATTCACTGTACACTCTGCCGTGCTTCGACATATGCTTTTTAGCATATTCGTACAACCATGCAGTCATGTTAGCTCTGAACCATGGCATCAATTGTTTTCTAGCCCATATCTTCTTCACTTCCATCGGAATATTTAAAATTTTGCACATTGTCTCAAAAAGATCTAAATCTTTTAGACAATCCAATTTCCGCAACTGTTCTCTCGTTGGCGCTTCCTGTCTATTGTTCTCTCTTACGTGAGTTTCCAGCCATCGTATCGCCATCATAACTCCCACTATCACTATTGTTATGGGCTGTGATGAGTCTGGTAAACCCATGGAGAGCAGCTCTCCAGAGTCCCAGATCAACACCAGATTACTACGCTTGGGATACCACCAGGTCTGCAGCAAGCAGTGGCAGGAAAACTCGTCATGTGTCAACATGATGCTCCTCCAGTTACGTTTTCCCGAAGCTTCCAGTAATGGTTCCACTTCCATCAGCACTCGGTGGACTTCATCATTCTCGTCTACTGTATTGTAATGTGTAACAGTTGATCCTCTCTGATTCTGTCTCTCAAAGTCACTGAAGTTCCCACTCACGTATCCCATGAACTTCTTTCCCAGTATCAATTCCAACTCTTCCTTGGTTATCTCTGGAACTGCTGAGAACATCTTACATAGCAACTCGTAAGATTTCTTGGACATTCTCGCCAGTCTCACACATTTCGGCACTGAGAAGGCTTGATCCACGATCGTTCTCGTACTCTTTACATCCACGGCTACGAAATGTACCGGTTATCTGCTCTTGCACATTAGAGCCAATGTCGAGCCCACCAAATATCGTGCTCCTGATGGTCTACAATAAGTCTCACTGTGTCTGTTGTTAATTTCCGTCCCGATCGCTTCCCTCCATTTTCCTATGTATTTCTGCTCGGTTTGCAGAACTCCTGGGAACACTTCTACACTGATGGCTGTGACCATCTCATGTCTCTGTTCTAGATTCAATAGTGACTCTAGAGAACTAAACATGCTGTAGAATCCTAGTGCAGTCACTAGATTCACCTCGGTTCCTCCATGACAATCCGCTATCAGTACCGTTTCCGTTCTTGCTTTCATCACGACGTTTCCAAATTCCAAATTGCTTGTGTTGTTTCTCTAGGGTCTTCACACAGTCCAGACCTCCACAAACGTGACCCTCCAGTCCACAGACTTCCACCAGACAGCTACCAGGTTTGACCCAGTCTTCTGGTCCCCAGCCAGGCAACTCCACTTTATCTTCACCGTTGCTCCTAGAGGCCGTTATCATCACATTATATATGATGTTAAGGTCACGCAGGTTACAGTCTGCATTCAGTTCCCTCTGCACGTCTTGTGTCGCCCGTAATATCGAGTCAGCGTTGGGACTATGACACCATGATGGCCTCATCAATTCCCCCACTGCCATCAAGCTCGTTCTCAGTGATTCATCTGAGAATCCCAACCCAAACTCCACTCTTTTGTCGGATTTTGGTACGGAAGGTGCAGTCACCTCTTCTTCCAAGACCAGTCCCAATTTGGCCTGTGATTTATTAGCGCTCTTATTTGTTACAATTCTCGACGTCCAGAATCTTAGTAACACTGCTTGTTCGTAATCGAAGAAGCAATCGCGTATGTCTTCATTAAGGAAAGGTTTGTACGCTATCCCTATGATTCCGGACACGTAGCTGTACGACTTCTTCTTGATCGGTCCACAGTATTCACTGGATTTCAGCAATGCCCCCATAGACTCTTTAGTGAGTCTCAGCTCCTGATTTGAGAATCTGATTTCGTCTATCTTTCTCATGGGCTCTAACTCCTCGGGTTCTTTGATATTCACCCTCATCGGTTTGCTTTGCTGCATATCCAGCAGTGCTAGCAAGAGTAAGGCTTTCGCTCGCTCATCGCCTTCCCTCAGCATCTTAACACAAGTGCTCAATGCAGGTACTGAAATCTGCTCTATCATGAATCGAATGAAACAGAGAGCGTCTCTCCGCTTCGCACACGCTACTGCTGCTCCCTCTTGGACTATCAGATCCCTCAGGTTCGTCATAAGGGAAACCTTCTCTTCTTTTGACCTCTTCCTTTCTTCTGAATCATATTCCTCGCGAGTCAATCCCATCATGCACCAAGCAAACCTCAGTTGTAATTCTGTTCTTACGTAAGGTACTGCCACGAGAGCGTGTATTCTTGGCGCAGTCCTCATCTCCTCTTCGAAGTACCTTAAAACCATTGCTTTCCATGGAAGGCTCACCAACTGCTCCATCGTTTCTGCATGAATCTCAGACGACGCTAAAGTCCCGTACGCCTTCTGCTTGAGGGTGGTGCCTTGCAACATTGTCTCTAGATAACCCTCCATGGCACCCTTGTCTTCCAGAGCCATCACGTACCCTCTAGCCGAGTTTCGGTACTCCAACATTTCCATGTATCCACCGGCAGGTTCATCTATCGACAGAGCCTCCGATACTGTCAGTCGGTTGTATTCTACTGGTACTAGTTGTCCTGCGACATTTCCCTTTCCGTGATTCATGGGAGATGGCTTAAAGTCTTTCATTGTGCTCTCTCCACATTGGCTGATTATTTCCATTTCTAAGGTTGCTCCAGTCAGAGTGCGGTCACTCCTTTTGGATTTATAACTTGTTGACTTTATTCCCGCCATGAGAATGGGTGGCACCATCGCTATATCAGTCAACATTTTATCTGTGCCAGGCAATTGATAGTCATCTTGTCCCAAATCCATGACCTCTTCGACTCGTTTCCTTTTGGCTGAATTGACAGCTTTCATCGATATCTCTGAATCCACCTTCGTCTTTCCTACTCTCCTCGGCATCACTCTGCTGCCTGACTTCATTTTCATCGCATTGATCTTATCAATCACCAATTTCGATCGCATCGTTCCTCTCCTGGTTATTGACAGATACACCACCTCTCCTATATTGTCCTGCGGTGTCATCTTGATGGGAGAATTCGCTTCACTTTCATCAGTGGCTGTGTCAATCAACAACTCACTCAATCTACCTTTACACTCATCAAGTTTATCAAGGACTTCCCGCATCAACGGTCGGTTGAGACCTGTTTTCAAAATGGACTGGGTCCCATAGCTCTGAACTACTGTCCAGACTTCTTCCATGAACGCCACTCTGTCCAATCTACATCCCGTCCTACTTTCATG